AATTTGATCTATGATTTTTAAATAAAAATTATAATTCTAAATTAAGAAAATAAATTTTATTAATCTCAGTCTTCTTAATTTTTATAGTAATCTGGATGAACTTTTGTCAAATGGTACTTTAAACCATTAGAATTTCTATATGTCTTTTCGCAATTATCAATTGGACAAGCAAAAGGCTTCGCAACCTTTTCATTCTCTTTTCTATGTCCATGAACAATATGATACTTAAGACCATGATTACTAGTATAGGACTTGGTACAACCAGGCTTAGTACAATAATGTCTCTTAACATTAGAATTATCCTGGTTATAATCATAACCATCGTTATTCATCTGTGTTGTTGACTCATTAATAGAATTTCCGAACAAAGAATTCTTCTTACTATATTTATCAATGGTTTCTTCTGCTAAAGTAAATAAATTCTCATAAATAGTCTTATCAATTAAAGATAAGTCTGTTCTTCTCTCATTGTAGTCTCTCTTAGTACTCTCTAGATTCATTTTTAACTCATGTAATACTTGAGTGTAAGCTACTAAATTTTCAATACTTCTTGTCATTCTTATTATAAATAAATTGGGGGTAAAAAATTTTTCAATTAAAAAATCAATAGAAATTTTTAAACAAAATAACAAATAAAATTTTATTAGTAAAATGACTATTAAAATATTGTTGAAATTACAAGAACTACTTAAAGAGTATTTACATGAGAATGAGCTATATAGATTGAAGGAAGTATTCAAAGATAACACTGTAATTTATAATAAAGAATTGTTTGATGAAGTTGAAAGACAAGAAAAAGAATTTAAATATATCAAAGAAATCTTTAAAAAGATTCAGAAGAAAAAAAAGTTACTAACTGATGTAGAAATTGATGATGATATATTAAAGCTAATTAAAGAACTTACAGACATAACAATAGAAGAAGACAGCAGTAAAGAATGTGAGATTAAGATTGTTAAAAATGATCTTGAATGGATAAAGAATTTAGAAGAATTTAAGCTTATTGATAGACCAATTAATAGAAATTTAGCACAATCAAATACACACATGCATCACATTGGCAAACAAGAAGAAAATCCAACTGAACAAAAAATTACTGGTACATTAATCAACCAATCAATGGTATTTCAAAATGGAATTCCCATACCTCATGATAACCAACAAAACAATATCAACGAAGAACAACAAAATACACCCACTCCTCAAAACAATAACAATGAAACAAATCTTAATGATGAAGATTTGTTTTTTTAATAAATCAATAAAATAAGCTTATTTAATTTACTCCTTTTTAGGAAATATAAAAAAATAAAATTAGGGGTAGAATATGCAGAAAATTAGTAGTTCAACAATTTCTTCAGTTCATGAAAGTATGTTGAATAGTCCAGTTATATCTAACATAACTAATAAAAGTTCTAATATTTCTACTTCAACAACTGATACATCTGCCACTAAAGGATTTTATAAAGAAGGCGGTTCAATAGGAGAATATAAAATTCAAAAAACTATTGGAAAGGGATCAAGTGCTAAAGTATTTCTGTGTGTTAGTAAGACTGGTAAAAGAGTAGCTATAAAAGTTATTAATAGAAACAATAATATTGTAAACAGAACCAGAATATTAAGAGAGATTGTTATTGGCACACTTCTTAATCATCCACATATAGTGAAAGTGATAGACTTCTTTTATGATAGTGTGTACTTTTATATTGTGTTTGAGTATGTTGATGGGATTGTTTTATATGATAAAATACTTGATAGTCATTTAAATAAATCAGAACCACTTCCAATTGAAAAGGCTAGAAAATATTTTAGGCAAATAACATCAGCTATTGATTATCTTCATAAAAACAGTATTGTTCATAGAGATCTTAAAATAGAAAATATAATTATAGACACTGATGATAATGTGAAGATAATTGATTTTGGTTTGAGTAATTTTTTTGATAGCAGAGCAGTTCTTGATACTTTTTGTGGAAGTTTATATTTTGCAGCACCTGAGCTTTTAATGGGAAAAAGATATAATGGTCCAGAAATAGATATTTGGTCGTTGGGAGTAGTGTTGTATGTAATGGTTTATGGTAAAGTGCCTTTTGATGATGAATCAATACATGAACTACAAGCTAAAATAAAAACTTGTAAATTTAATTTTCCTAAAAATAGAAAGACTAATCCAGATTTGGAAGATTTAATTATAAATATGATTTTATTAAATCCTAATCAGAGATATTCAATGGAGGATGTTAAAAACAGTAAATGGATAAATGAAGGATATAATGAGAAAATTAAGAATTATTTCATTAAGAGACATCCTATTAATAAGATAAATAAGGATTTTCTATTAATATTAGAAAATATTACATCCTATCAATTTGATAGTGTTGAAGATGAAATGTGTAAGTATATTGATATATGTAAAAATGGAAACAAACTAGAAAGAAAGTATTGGGAAAGTAAACCAATTGTATCACTTTATTGTTTGTTAGTTGAAAATTTAACTCAATCAAAAGGTAAGTTTATTGATAATTCTAACAAAATTTACTGGGAAACTTCACCTATAATAGACTATCTTAACTCTGAGAATAGTAACATTAAGTGTATAAAAGAGTTCTTATCATTCATTTCTGAGTCTAAAGAACCACTTAATGATAACAACTCAACACTTTATAAACAAAATTCTGTTTATCCGTTAGTAAGAAGATCTTTCCTAAAAGGGATACTTAAAGGAATTAAAGTAACTAAGATCAATGAAAGTAAGTTAAAACAGAAATTAATAAGGATATTTATAAAACATAATATATCTTATGAGGCTAATGAAAAGTCATACTTCTGTTCACTCTATAAAGAATCCTCATTTGTTCAGTTTAGACTCTCTATTTACTATAACGTGGTTCTAGGAGAGTATTACTTGACTCTTAAAAACCTAAATAAGAGACAAGATTTATTTAATGAAATATTTGCAGTCCTAAAAAGAGAACTAACTAGTGAATAAAAATATTTTATATAAATTTTAAAATTTTTAAAAAAAATTTTTTAAACCCTTATGCTGAATTTTTTAATCACTTATTCTTCTTATAAGTAATAAGTTTCATGGTTCAGTAACAAAATCATTTTAATAAAGTTTTTAGTTTTTGTTTGTTTGTTTTATGAAACAAATTTAATAATTGAAAAGATGAATTAACATAAACAGATATGTTAATCATTTTTTTAAATAAAATATGTTGTGAAGTGTCAATGGAACTATTTGATAAGATAAATAGTTATAGAGTAAAGCATAATTTAGAAGAATTTGAGTTTAAAGAGGAATTAAAAGAAGTTGCCCAAGAACAAGCAGATTACATGTGTAAAATTAATAAATTAACACATGCTAATCAGGATTTAATACCATTAAAACAAAGAATAAGAGACAAGGGGATTGATATGGTAATGAAAGCGGGTGAAAATATTGCAAAATCAGACAGTGAAGCATATGAATCAATAGCAAAGTTGTGGATGAAGAATGAAGGACATAAAAACAATATTCTTGGTAACTACACACATTCAGCAATAGCTACATGTAAAACACCAGATGATATAATTTATTGGGTGGAAGTATTTGCTAATTTATCAGATCAACAAGGATATAAGAATTATAAAAATAATTCAATATCAAAGAATAAGTTATATTTAATTATCAAAGATAAGTTGAAGAAGATAAATAATGAAAATTTAACAGAAGATGATTTATTATCATCATTAAATGAAAAGTCTAATAAAAATGATCAAAAAAATAAAAATGATCAAAAAAATAAAAATGATCAAAAAAATAAAAATGATAAAAACTTAGAAAATACTTCAAATGATAAAAATAAAAAAGATAAAGAAAATACTTTAAAAGACGGTAAAAATAAAAATAATAATTTAGATAAAGAAAATGTAAAGAATGATAAAGAAAATGAAATAATAAAAGAAATAGAAGATTTTATACCTAAAGCATTAGAAAAGTTTAAAAATGAAATACTCAATTCAATAAAAAATAACACAGTAAATCCTAATACAGAATTAATCAATAGTTCGTTACCAAATGATACTTTAACAATTAATTTTAATACAATTCCAAATTCATCAAATGATCAATTAAAAGATTTAAAAACAGCTTTAGTTAATGTAAAAGATAATAGTTCTATTAATATTCCTATGTTTGATAATAATCATACTAATCATACTTTAAATGATAATACTTTAAATGATACTATTACTTTAAATGGTAAAAATTCTTTAAATACTAATACTTTAAATGAAAATCATACTAATACTTTAAATAATAATAATCAAATTAGTACCACTAATACTTTAAATAATGATAATAATCAAATTAATAATACAAAAAGTATAAATGAATTAAATAATGTTACAACAAATAAAACAACAGAACCAACTATAGATATGAAAGATGATAAACATTTAATTAAATTAATAGAAGAGGTAATAGAATCAAACAAGTATAATTTAACAGTAGTAGATAAGAAAAAAGACGATAAAGAAAACAACATAGAAATAGCGGAACCTTTATAAATAAAATTCAAAGTTTATTCAACCAAATTTCATAAATCTCAGAAACTCGAACCAACTCTTCATTTTCATTAACTGTCTCTATTAATTCTCTGTTAATGTCAGTTAAAAGTGAATTAATATTTGACAAGGACATTTGTATTCTATTGATTATTCTTTGTTTTTTTTCTTCTAAAAGTTTCATAAAATGAAAATCCTACAAATTTATTTAAAAAGATTTTCTAAATAATTAATTTCTAAAAAACATTTTTCTGAGAGGAAATCAATTATCTTTTCATAAGCATCATTTCTTATTGCAAAATAGAAATTTTTCTTTTTGAAAATTCTTATTAATTGTGCAAAAGCATCTGTCAGACAAACTATGTTCATGTTTTTAATTTCTATTGATTTGAGTTTTTCAGCAGTCTCTTTATTTTCATATGAGCAAGCTAAAACCTTTTTATCATATTCATCATGTGGTTTACTGGTGAATAACATATACTTAATGTACTTTGATACATCTGGATAAAAACAAAAGTGTTCATTCAGGTATTCAATAACATCTTTTACAGACATTAAAGAATGAGTATTCTTAGGTATACTGAATAGATTTGTTAAAAAAGTAAAAAGTCTATCTTTACAATTAAAACTACTTCTTTTACATTTAAAAAATATACTTTTAGGTAATTTTAAATCATCATAGTTAATCACACGATAACAGCTTGTTGAGTATAGTTTGCTATTTAAAGTTTTCATAAGATCTTCATATTCCATCCATTTTTTAGTTTGTAAGCCTAAAAAATATTCATTTTGAAAAATATGTATTTCATTTTCTTGTGTTACTATATTTTTATACTTACCACAAGACTCATTTACTTCTAAATCGTTTAGAAAATCTAAAAATGGGAATTGATTATAAATCATGGGTTAATTTAAAAACCTGTTTAAATATTTATATATTAGTAATATTATATAAAAAATA